ATTTGAGATGTAAACTAAAAAAAAAAAAAAAAAAAAAAAAAAAAAAAATCGTGAAACAAAAACTTTAAAAAAAAAAAAAAAAAAAAAAAAATCTCTTTTTTTTTTTTAAGAGAGAAAAAAAAAAAAAAAAAAAAGTAAATGCAAACGTTGGAATTGTTTACATTAAAAAAGTCAAACATGTGCGTTGAAAAATAACAAGAGTGTATTTATCTTCAAATATACGTCATTCAAATATACCTCCATAAAATCATCGTAGATGAAACCCTGCTCCAGGCCGATGAAAAACGTGAGAGGAGCTGCGAGCTGAAGCTTCGGATCCTGAAACGCGCATTTAACAGACTTGAGAATGTCCTTGACGCATTTGCAGTCGTGTTTCAGAGATTTTTGCATCCTGTAGTCGAGAAACGCGCAGGATATGAAGAAACCGAGTATCGCCAAACCGAGCCAGATGCTGACGAGCACCGTCGACGCGTCTGACGTGATCGTCGGCAACGATTCGTTGTAAAAGTACATCTCGCCGGAGCAATACTCGGCCCCGCAAACCTCTCCCATGTCGCTGTATACTGTGCTGCTAGACGGTATCAGCCCCATTAGGCTAATGAGGATCGTGGCGATGAGACAACCTGTGTGTGGAAATACAAAAATCGTTACGCAGTTTCTTCTGAAGATCGAAGACAATGATCAAATTTGTCAGTTTCAAGAGAAGTCAAAAAAAAAAAAAAAAAAATACGGGCCGTTACGTACCAATTGCAAGGCCTATGTCCTCGGCCAGTTTGATTCCCCGATTGAGTCTTCTCAGCAAGCACTCGCGTCGCGTTTCGTCCGGATCCTCGGGACTCACGCAGCAAACCAGCGCCATGCTGGTCGCGCACCAGTTAACGTGCGACGTCCTCGCCAGGAAGCTCGAGCTGACGCAGCAGCCCAGCATCGCGTAGCTGGGCGCGAGTATGTACCTGGCGTATGTACCGGGAGAGCGCGCGTATTAATTTTCGTAACAGCTTCGTAGTAATATCTATTTTCGTATCGCTGATATTGATAAGAAAAAGAACACAAAGAAAGAGAGAAGCGTTCTTGCTGCCATTTTCACTGTGTGTGTGATTTTTATAGAAAATAAATAAATCCTCAAGAAAGAGAGAATTTTTCTGGACCATTTCTCAGAAGAAACCTATTACGATATTAAAGAACGAAAACTTTCGAGACGGTTCGTATGAAAAACAAGTAATCGATAACGTAACACATACACATATATATACGCACATTCTTTCAATCTTCCCTCCCTCTCTTTTTTAATAAATTATTATTTCAATATTTGAGATGTAAACTAAAAAAAAAAAAAAAAA